TGCAATCCCTTCTCCTCCATTTTCCTCTCAAGATTTTGGGCACATACGCACATGTGCCCAGTGTTAATTTCAAGCCACTGGGTCCAGAATTCAGACTGGAGTCCGCCAAATGTGAGTCCAGCGCCTTAACCACTATACCACTTGCTGGCCCCTAAGCCACATGCTCACTTTCTGTCTCTCTCTGTCTTTCGGCGGAGCGCTTGCACCCTCTAGCAAAAACCTCTCCAAAAAAAAAAAAAAAAGAATAGTAGATAGATAGATAGAAAGAAAGAAACTTGAACAACAAGACCTAACAGCCATCACAAAACACTCAACAATAGCAGAATACATATTTATCTCAAGTGCTTGTAGAATATTTTCGGGGATAGATTACGTATTAGTCCATAAAACATGTCTCAATAAATTTGAAAGTACTGAAAACATTAAAATATATTTTCCTTCTATAAAAGAAGGAAATTAAACAGGATGCTTAAATGATTAAAAGTCAAAGAAGAAATCAATACTAACCTTATGAAGAAAGGCCAAATGTTAATTCACTACTTTGAGATAAATTATAACAAAAAATACAATATATAGAACCTTATAAGAAGCAATGAAAGTAGTATTCAGAGGGCAATTTAGAAATATAAATGACTATAATTATAAGAAAGGTATCTAGGAGTCAGCAGATGGCATAGGGGGTTACATCGCTTCTCTCTCACATGGCCAAGTGCAGTTTGAGTACAGAATTTGTGGCTTGAAACTCACGCCAGGCATGTGTGCATGCATGCCCAAAATTCTTGGAGGAGAATGGAAGAGAAGGGATTGCACCACGGTCATCCCCAAGGCGGGAGGGGGTGATTTCTCACTTTCCCTCTCACAGTCTTTGTCTCTCTCTGACAAGCACATGTGCCCTAAGGCAAAAGAATGAGAAAAAGTAAAATCAGTAATATAATTTACACATTGAGAAATCAGAAAAAGAAAAGCAAATTAAATTCAAAGTTAGTAGAAAGAAAATAATAAACAGTAGGGCAGAGAGGAATGAGATAAGAGAATGAGGTATAACAGATTCAAAGATATCAAAAATGGATTCTTTCCAAGGTCAACAAAAAAATAAAAAAATTACCTAGACTGACAAAAAAAAGTTCAAATTACTATCTGTAGAAATGAAAGAGAGGATACTACTACTGAACTTACAGAAATAAGGAATTTGAAAGGAATACTATGAATAAATGTCAACAAATTAGATAATCTAGACAAATGACAAATTTGTCTATGACTAGGACAAATTTCTATAAAGATAAAAATGATGTGACTTAAGAAACAGTCTGACTAGATCTATACCAAGTAAAGATATTAAACTAGTAAATAAAAAAGTACTAGAGATAAAAGTCTAGAGCAAGGTGGCTTCCCTTATGAATTTTAGCAAATGTTTAAAGAAAAATAAATACAATTTCTACAATTCTATAAAATTAAAAAGAAGGGATCATTTCTTAAATCATTCTAAAGGACAGTATTTCCCTGATACACAAACCAGGCAAAACAAGAAAACTACTGGCCAATATCCCTTATGAATATACACACAAAAATATTCAGCAAAGTCCTATCAAACCAAATCTAGCAAAAATTAAAGTTATACATCATAATGAAGCAGAATTATTCCAAGGTATGCAATAGTGCTTCAACATATGAGTCTATTAATGTTATATACCATATTAAGAAAGCAAAGGAGAAAACCAGTATCATGCCCATTGATGGAAAAAAAAAAAAAGCACTGGAAAAAATCTAACATGTTTTCATGATAAAGACATTCAACAAATGAGGAACAGAAGAGAACCTCTGCAACCAACATTATGAAGGTCATCTATAAAAATACCCAGAGCTGGGACCAGCAGTTGGCATAACGGCTGTCGCTGGACTCTCATGTTGATCGATCACGGGTAGAGTCCTGGACCCGGTGGCTTAAACTCAAGCCAGGTGCATGTGCGTGTATGCCCAAGATCCCAAGAGGAGAATAAAGGAGAAGGGACTGTGGCGTGGCCATCCACCTGGTGGGGGTGATTTCTCACTTTCTGTCTCTCTGTCTTGCTCTGTCTTTCTAGCGAGCACATGCACCCTATACCAAAAACCTCTCAATAAATAAATAAATAAATAAATGAAATAATACTCAGAGCTAACATCATGTTTAATTGTGAAAATCTGAAAGCTTCCCCGCTAGGGAGCAAGACAGGCATGTCTGCTCTTAGTATTTCTAGTCAAGTTTGTACTAGAGGTTCTAGCTAGGGCCATTAGACAAGAAAAAGAAAAGGAATCCAAATCAGAAATGAGTAAGTAAAACTTTATCTCTGATGACATGCTCTTACATACAGACAACCCTAAAGGATCTACAAAACACGATTGGAGCTAATAAACAAATTCAGTAAAGTTGCAGAATATAAGATTAGTTTTATATTTCTATACACTAGTGATGAGCATTCCAATAATATAATTAAGAAAACAATTCCACCTAGAATATCATTAAAAATAAAATACTTATAAATACATTTTTAAAAATAATTGCAATAATTGGAATATTATTGAGAGCAATTAAGGAAGACCTAAATAATTAAAGGCATCTCATTTTCATGGATTGGGAGACTTAATACTGTTAATGAGGCAATATCCCCAAATTGATCAACAGACTCAATACAATGTGTATTAAAATCGCAGCCCCCTTTTTTGCGGAAATTGACAAACTGACCTTAAAATTTATATGGAAATTCAAATGACTCAGAGAATACCTCAGCGATCTTGAAAAAGAACAAAGTTAAACAACTCACACTTCTTGATTTCAAGACTTACCACAAAGCCACCATAATCAAAACAACACGTCAGTGGTGCATAAAGATAGACATCTAGATCAATGGAACAGAACTGAGAGACCATAAATAAGCCTTCAAGGGACCAGCAGATAGTGTATTGTTTGCATCGCTGGACTCCCACATGGCCAACTGTGGTTCAAGTCCTGGACTCAGTGGCTTTGCCACACAGGGGGCATGTGATGTGTGCCCAAAATCCCAAGAGGGGAATGAAGGAAAAGGGACTACGGCATGGTCATCCCCCCGGGAGGGGGGTTATTTCTTGCTTTCTGTTTCTATGGCAAGCACACATGTCCTATAGCAAAAATCCCTCTAAAAAAGAAAAAGAAATAAACCCTCAAATTTACAGTCAACTGATTTTTTATTATTTATTTGTTTGTTTGTTATTTTTAATTTGACCAGACAGAGAAGAAAAGTGAGAAAGCAAGTTGACAGGTCTACGACTCAAAGCATGGACAGTCATACAGGAGTCCAGTGCCTTAAACACCATACTACCCTGCTGGCCCCGTGGTCAACTGATTTTTTAAAAAGGGGTCAAGATCATTCAATGGGGAAAATATTATCTTTTCAACAATGGTGCTGTTACAACTGAATATGTACTTTCAAAAGAATAAACTTGGACCCAATCTTTCATCATATATGAAAATTAATCAGGCCTGCGTGGCCGGGCCTGTGCGGCCGGGGCTCTGTTCTACCCTGCTGGCCCCGTGGTCAAATGATTTTTTAAAAAGGGGTCAAGATCATTCAATGGGGAAAATATTATCTTTTCAACAATGGTGCTGTTACAACTGAATATGTACTTTCAAAAGAATAAACTTGGACCCAATCTTTCATCATATATGAAAATTAATCAGGCCTGCGTGGCCGGGCCTGTGCGGCCGGGGCTCTGTTCCGCATTCCGCAGCCCAAGCCGCCCAGCCCCCGCTGCCTCTCCGGCGCTGGGTGTGTCCCGCACTCGGCGCCAACGCAGGCTGGGGGGGCGGGCCCGCCGGG